AAACAAAGCTAAAGCAGGTAAAAATAGAGGCAAAAGTATGCTGGACTAAAGCTAAGTTAGGATAGAAAAACATGCTAACATACAAGACAAACTAGGCATGCAAGCAAGATACAAGGAGAAGAGGCTAACCCCTCCAATTTTGGACTTCAAAACAAAGTTTTTACCACTGAAATACCTCTGAAAATCAGTGATTAAAAGGCCCAAAAAAGTTCGTTTAAAAGTGATAAGAAATTGCACAAAAGCTTAACAAACAAAAAGACAAGAATGGTGGACTACCCCTTAACACAAAGTAACCTCAAACCACCATTTTTAGGTCATAAAAATAGAGGCTTTTGTAGTTGAAAACCAGGCCAAAAACAGTACAAAAGGGGGTAAAACAAGTTATGCAAAACAAGTTTAAAAGGTGAGTCTTATACCTCTTGAAGAACAACACAATTTCAGGCAAAAAAAGCAAGCAAAATCACTTTCAAGAGCTCCAAGAAGACCTCCTAGAATCTCAGCTCAAAGATAACCAACTTTGATCAAGGATGTCTAGGCAAAGGAGAAGTGTATCTCTACTTGTATGCACAAAAGGGCAAGAGAGAGAGAGAATTGTAGAGAAAGAGGCTCCCAAAATTTCTTCAACCTTGAAAACAATAGAGAATGGCCTCTATATATAGAAATACAAGAGTCTTGGTCGAAAATATCTAAATTAGAGACAACTGGAGCAGTGTGAAACAGTTGGAGGAAAATATCTGCAAAATCTAGGCTTCTGGACACCTGTGGCCGACCGGCTATCACTGGTGGCCGACGGCCATCGCCGGTGGACGTCGTCCATCACTGGTGGTTGAAAAAATGCACTTTTGGACGACACATGGCCAACAAGCTTCACTGGTGGCTGACAAGCAAAAATTGGTTTCTGGCCCCGACTTCAAATAGGCACATCTCTTTCATCTGGACTCCTTTGCAAGTCATTCTTGTGTCTAAATTGATGCCCCGGAAGTCTTATTTCCAATGGTGGTAGTCTCACATCAAAATTTCAAGTGTGCAAAAAGATATGCCTCTTTTAGTGAAACTTGAAAAAACATATATATAACTCAAAGATTATTCCTATCTCAAGCTTGAAAGAGAAAGGAGATGAAAACCCTAAAGTTCAACGTTGATGAAAACTCAATTCGATTGGTGTAAACGTAGCCTTCGTCGCTCTCTTTGATTTGGTGTAAAAAACCCTCTCAAATTCTTGAAGATTTTAGCTAAATCTTATAGAAAAGTTTGGATTTGAGTGTATTTATAGAGAGAATGAAGAGAAAAGATGAGTAGAGAGAGAGAGAGAAGTGAAAAAGTGTCTCAAACATGTTTTTGGCATCAATTTGAGTAAAAAAGCTCGAAATTCGAGACAGACACGCCGAAATCAGCACGAGCAGTTTGACTTCCGCACGAGCAGATTCTGATGCTTCACAGGCGAATTGCTCTAGAGAAATCTCAGAATTTTCACAAAAAACCCACTCAAGCGGAACCCAAATCCGCACGAGCGGTTTTGCCTAGAAAATCCAGAATTTGATTTCGCATCCCAAAACAAGTCCAACGCCCAAAACTCAAAATTTTAACCCGAAAATGTTAAGAGATGTTAAGTAAGAGTAGAAAAGAAATCTCAATAACCCAATACGATAAACAAAACATCGAAAGTAATGCACACTATCTTGCTATTCAATATCTGCCAAGTCCAAGACCCAAGACATCACACACTAGGACTCTCAACTACTGGAATAGCGTGTGTATTCACTGTGGGTAACCTTTCATTTGTCTTAATCTCAAGCACCTCGTTCAAGTCAGCACCATTAATGGCCAATGTAAGGAATGACATGATTACACAGATTGTTAATAAATTTTTTCTAAGAACACTTGAAGGTTTTGTATCTCTGCACATCATCTATGTCATTTTATACACACCTTTGATACTATAATCGATGCATATCTGCTCAAATCATTTGATAGTCAATATCTTTAGGCGCCGTTGCACGATTTTTTTTTTTTGGGCGAATCTCGACATTGATCACTAGGAAGAAATATATATATATATATATATATTATTACATTTTCTTTTGTCAACTCAAATTATTTGCTATATTTCTAAATCGTTGATCAAATGTTTTACATGATTTTCGTTTGGGACACTAAAAATTTTCATTCTCTATCCAAACCTGTAGTAACCTTTTATTTTGATGATGTCAATGGGGGAGAAGAAATTTGATTTATATATAAATTATTTGACAAAGAATTTGTTAATAGTGGGAGAGAAAATATAATGAAAAAAAATGCATGTATGATGATTGTTGAATATTTACATGGTGCATTTATTCATATGAAATTTTGTGTCAAATTCATGCATGTATTGCCGTAATCAAAAAGAGAAAGATTGTTAATCATGTGGTTTAATTTTTTATGCTTTTTTAATATACATATTTTACATTCTTTGACACAAAATATTATCTACTAAAATACATGTTGTATAATGTATGTGTTATAAATATTATTTAAATAAATTTACTGTGCATCATATATTTTTTAATAAAGAAGTTACTATTCAAGTTACTGTGTAACTTTTGAAATTCGTAAGGTTTTGAAGGAAAAATTAGAAATTATTATTCATTGAAAGCGACCGTTGATCATTAATTTCAAACATCTACCTACCATTTTTGAAGATGAGGAAAGAGATGTCTCGCGTGCCCGAAGCTACAAGCAGTGGGAGCGTCGTCCTCCAACGGATATATGTTCAACTGATATATTTTCTTGTATATATAGAAGTGTTTTGGTGTGAGAAAAAAAATAAGTAAAGCAAGGAAAAATCTGTTATATTGAAATATTCTCAAATATGGTATTGTGCTTCATTGAGTTATATTTTCTGTAAGAAAATTTGTTGAGAGTTTGAAAAAAATTGTAAAAGGATTTTCTATCCCTTATTCATATTATTATTGTAAAAAAAAGAGTGTTTTTGTGGGTGATTTTTTGATATAAAATCACTTGGGTTGGGTGTGACTAGGCACCGGATTCAAAACTAGTTGAGATATTTTTATGAGTGATTTTTTAGATAAAATTACTTAGTTAGGTGTTACTAGGCACCAGATTCTAAACTAGTCGGAGTGATTGAGATTGGTCACTTGTAAAGCTTCGCTAGCACTCGTGAAGCTAATGGTGTAATTACTATTTGAAAAATAGTGGAGAAATTCCCAAGGAGGATACTTGGGGAGTGGACGTAGGCTCGGCGTGCCAAACAACTATAAATCATTGTATTTGATTTCTCTTCCCTTTGCTCATTTTATTTCATTACTCTATTTTATAGTATTGAGCATATTTATTTATTTATTATTTGGATTAATTTTTATTTTGACAATTTATTTAGAAACCCAATTCACCCCCTCTTAAGTTGCCTACCTGGGATAACAGTAATGCAACAAACTGATAGTCCTAGGATATATAGTTCTGGACTATTAGACTGGAAATGATGTGTATCACATGTTTGTTTTATCATAAAATTATACATTTAAAAATGACTATTTTAGTGAATCTCACGTTTAATTTGAAATTATGAAGAACAATAATTTATCAAAAGACCATTTTGTCCTTTTAAATTGTTTACAATGGTAATGCCAAATTTGAAGCATATTTTATTTTGTTTTATTTATTTGAATTTTATTTTATTTTATTTTACAAAGACCATTTTAATTTTATTTAAATACGTATATTTTCATTTTTGATTTTGCTAATACAAAAAGAAAAAGAAAAAAAAAGTAAGAGAAGACAATTATATATCATAAGATTAATTTACACATGTTTAAAAAATGCAAGAAAATTTTTTATATATTTGAGAGTAAATTTTGTCATTTAATTAGTTAATCTAGAAGTTGACTTAGTACATCCATTTATGTCCCGCATCCCCCGTAAATTTTTATTTTTATTTATTAGTCCGGCCTTCACTTTTCCAATCAAATATTGAACTATCCATTCTGTTGTCCAATCCCATGTTCTAATCTCACCAAACAAACACCCCCAAAGGGTGTAGATTCTCTTGAATTGGTCATTTTAATCTGAGAGAGTGTTTAGATTTGGTAGACCCATTTTTAGGCTAACCTTAGTGATCTGAATCGTTCACTTTTTAATACTCATTACGTTGAATATTAATGCAAAAAATTAAGATTATCAGACATCAATAGTTATATATTTGAATCACATTTGTATTATAAAAAATGAATGGTTACATTTGAAATTATAATTAGAGTCATGCTACAGGCCTCGAATATTGAGGCACGAATTTTTCTCGAATTTGTTTAATCGGTCGTCCGGCCGGTCATCCGGTAAAGAGGCTGACAGCCGCGGTTGACAAGGTAACAACTGCGGTAGACAAGTGCTTCACCCGGTCGTCCGGGTGGTCGTCCGGCTGTCCAGGTGATCGTCCAGCCAGTCGACCGGTGACAACAAATTCGCGTCATTCGTGCCCGAAGCTCTCGAGGCCTGAAGCATTAGTATTATAATTATCGTTCATTTTTAAAAACAAATGTAATTCAAACATAAACAATCGACATTCAATCATCTTCTTTTTTTTTCATGAATATTCTACTCAACGAATCTTAAAAAAAGAACGGTCACTAAGGTCGGTCTCAAAATGAGCCTAACAAACCTAAACATTAGAATCTAATCCCATATAGAAATTTAAGCCTCGTTTGTGAACTATATATTTTAGGCAAAAAGTCATTAAAAATTATGAAATCACTTCTTTATATTTTTTTGTGCATATATTTTCGTAAAAAATTAAAAAAATTACTAAAATAACCTATTTCTAAACGAACCCTTAGTGGATGTAACTACAAACTCCCATCAAAGCCTGAAAAAATACGTAGTCAATGACGTATTTACAGTTAACAATCTTTGATTGTGCCGTCATAAAATATTCCAATTTTCTTTTGTTAACATGCACTTACAACTCTATAAAGGCAAGCATTTAGAAGTAGAAGTAATTAGAAGCACCAAAACTTTCTCATAGTGAAAAGAAAAAAAAAAAGAAGCAATTAAGATATCATGGTGTCCCAAACAAAGCCCAAGATTCCAAAAATAGATTTCACCAAAGAAAACTTGAAACATGGCACAAGTTCTTGGATTGAAACAAGCAATGAAGTCAAGTGTGCCCTAGAAGAGTATGGATGCTTCGTGGCAGTGTATGATAGGGTTTCAATGGAGCTTTACAACGAGGTGTTTGGGTCATTGGGAGAGTTGTTTGATCTCCCAAAAGAGATCAAAGTGAAGAACACTTCTGATAAGCCTTACTTTGGGTATATTGGGGATGAGCCTATCATTCCCCTCTATGAAGGCTTTGGCATTGATGATGCACCTACTCTTGAAGGAGCTCAAAGTTTCACAAATCTTATGTGGCCTAATGGAAATGACCATTTCTGGTATAAAACTTTATCTACTTTTTTACAAATAATTTTTCTGAATTAATTACACTAAAAGTATATGCTATGTTACATTTAGTTCTCAATTTTTTAATTGTTTCATTTTGATTCCTAAAATATGTGATCTGTTACACTTTAGTCCTAACATCAATATCGTTCAAAATTAGTAACGAAAAGAGGGATACTTTTGAAATTTTACCAAATACTCTTGCTGATGTTAGGAACTGTCGTGTGACATATCGCATATTTTAAGAACAAATGTATTATCGCTTTTCTCAAATGAAAGTGTCAAAGCCAAACTAATTAGAATCAGCACTAGAAGATACAGAAATTCTCTTGTGAGTGAGTTGACTAAAGTTGTTTCCCTCATAATTTTTTGGGAAATTTTGAAGGAACGGTTAACAAAATATATATTTTGGAAATTATTTGCATAATTAACTTGATTTTTTCTTAAGAATTAGTATTATGAAAGATACTCTGAAAACGAAATGTGTTGATCAAATTTATTTTGGATGTGACTTACACCACACCAAATTTAAATCTACACCATACTCTACAGGGTACATAATATTTTTGCTTTCTAATAATTAGTTAGCTAATTCATATAGAATAAAAAAAAAAAATAAGTTTAAGAATACATAATCAAACACATAATAAAAGTGAATTAGTTTAAAAGTAAGCCTCACTTACAAATCTTATAAAAATTGCTCATTCTAGTGTATTCTATGCATTTTTTTCCCGAAAAATTCATGAGTTGATTAAAAGTTGGCTTTTTGAATTTTTTTGGCTTTTATTGAAAAAATATATAAAAAAGTAGAGAGATAATGTGACTCAAAATATATAACTGTGTTCCTAAATTATTATTTATTCATATCACTTAACCCCTCTCTCTCTCTCTCTTGGTTGGTCAGTAAAACCATGCACTCTTATTCAGTGTTGGT